AACCACCAAATCACTAGGAGTTTTATTTAAATAACTCGTCCAACACCTTTACCTAATTATGAAATTTTACAAAATATAACAAAAGGTATAGTTAGTTTAAATTGATAATTTTCTTCCTTTCTAATGTCTAACATATCATATTTTGTTCTAAAATAAAAGAATTTAAACCAATTAAACTCAATTGAAAAAACTATACAACATATCACCAAACATTCAAGATCCAAACAATGCACAAATCCTAAATAAAATAAAATATTATGATAATGTCATTTTCATGTTCAAATCTTCAAACCTAAGTTACTATAAAAAATTAACTAATTTTCTTTACTTGTTATTGTACTCCCAATTTCACTGCTTTCACAAGTTAAACATGAATAAAAGAAATTTTGATAAATGATTTAAACATACCCTTATAATTTGGATTTTGTGTTAAAAGGACCACATGTAAAATCCTGAATTCTCATGTGTGAAAAATAAAATAAAAAGAAATATATTTTAAAACATTCAAATAAAATAAGATTACTTTATTCTTCACGAATCCCACCAAAATAGTGTTTTAGCAAGATGATAATTTTTCTAAAATAAAATTTATAATTTGAATAGTTAATTTTTTCTATCTATAAGTTTAATAATTAATAAAATATTTATATTTTTCTACTATTAAATGATTTGCTATGTTCTATTTAAAAATATCTATTATCACTTTTTATGAGATTTCATTTTAGTGGAATGATATTAATCATTTTCTATTTAAAATATTTTAAATTAATGGACATGTTTTATTAGAAAAAAATTAACAAATATTTAAATAATGTACATAAAGTTTCTCTTTCCAGGTTCAAAAGTACCAGTAACAATAAAGATAACATTTCCAGAAATGAGGAACCATTCCCTGCCAATGCAGTCACTCATTAAAAATAAGGTATTGGCAGCAGAAAGAAATTAACATCACTCATGCAAAGATAAAATACTAGGTAAGACTAAACATAGACGCTGAAAATTCAGACATGACCACATATCATTACCAAACAAAGAAGTGATTTTTTTTCAAAGGATCGCTTATAACTTTTATTTTGATGGAAGTAACAATTCTAAAGGGTTTATTCTCCTAAACAAGAAATTAGGCCCCTCGATGAGAATAGTATACTCTCTCAAAAATTCATTTCATCATGAAACAGGTAGTAAAAAGAAGAGTCAAGAAGTGAAAGTTTTTTTCTTTCTTAGAAAAAAAATGGCGCTCCAAAGAAGTTTCACAATGAAAAAGAAAATACGTGCAGTGTTCATAATTTTAAGATGCTACTTCAAGTTTTCTATTTAATGTGATTTGGACTACCATTCTAATTTCGAGAATATCCCAAGGTCGATCCACAATTATGAAATTGAAACCAGAACCAGAAAGAGAGGCATAGATTTATCAAACAAACGCAAAATATGAAAGACAAAACCCGGGTTACTTGCCTAACTAAGCACAAGGAGTACTCTTAAGAAATACCACAGAATTTCAGCAATAGGTTTGCCACTGATAAAAGGAACTGGCATACCTTATAACTAACATAATTTGATGGAAGTAAAGATAACTTCCTTAAAATGTGGCTCAACTTTAGAGAATAATTGTTCATAATTACGAGAAAGGAGGAGAATGAAACACAGTTAGAAATGTCAAGTGAAAAGGATTCCTAATCATAAGGTGATAGTATACAAATAAACGTCTGCCAAGATATTTGAGAAGAAGTATCAAGACATGTAGACATATAACAATAAATAAAATTTTCATATGCAATTAGATTGCCAATCTGTCGAAGATCACACTTCCACATATATAAATAAATAAATATCATAACACGTACAATTCATCGTTGTATTAGAAGTAAAAGTTTAAACTAATGCACCTTGGTGCCAGAAGCTCCTCACCATATGAAGGTACGGAGGAGAGTCATTTGTACGGGGCATTATCCTTGCAATCAGGAGCAGAAGTTCAATCAACTAAAAACATAGGAAACAACTTCTCACCCAAAAATATGAACCAAAGAAGACAATCTACATTAACAAACTCCGGAAAGTAAACACGTACCAATTGTTATCAGGCCAGATTTAACCATAGACAATCAACGAACTGGCACGAGCCCTGTATCACCTGTAAATATTTTCAGTTTTGTCATGACCTATTCCACAGAAGTAGTAGTTAAGTATCTGATTTAAGTTGTTATGCCTTCCTATATTTAGGAGTTGGTTCTGTTTTCTGTGCAGTCTATTTAAAAGGCTTTCACTCGTTTAATAAAAGTGGAGTATTCCTTCCAAACAGTTTCTCTATCATTTTTCATTTCGGCTGTTCATGTAACATCACCAATGACTATTTAAAGACATTCCCACAAGTTGCCTTAGTTCTGTAGGTACCGCGAGTATCTACATCTTCTGTTCTTCATTACAGATATCCCATAACCTGTGTTCTCGAAATGATACTAGCCAAAGAGGATTCATCAGAATTTCCAATTCACGATCAATGATCTCAACAGATATCACTTGAACATTTTCTGGTGACCCTCGTCAAATGTTCTTAGTTGAAGGAGATTGTGGCCATGAAAATATTCGGCAAGTAAATATTTGGAATAACCTCAAGGTTCTGTAATGAATTATCGCAGGGAAGCAACGGAACAAAAATGAGACCCAAACCATCCTCACCCAACCATGAATTATGCCGAAAATAAATCACAATTTAAAAACAAGCAGCCATTACTGAAGCTGTTAGAAACAGATAAATTACACATAAAAAAATATACCAAATTGTCAAACCAGAAGGGAAATACAACATCAAATCTTATACTTCTTTCCAAAGAAACCCCATCTCCTGCACAACACATCACATGTTATACACAGTGCCAGATGGCTTCATGACCAGAGACTAGTAACATAATTCCATATTATAGTTCACGCCGCTTTGGGCTCATTAAGTTATCAATGGGTTCAATTGGTAGAAAACAATAGAGACTACTATTTCACTTTGAGCTCACTACAAACCTGTTGGTAAAAATAAAAATCACATACAAACTATTTGATACAAAGAACAAGAACAATATAATTTAAATGTACGACATTAACAAATAATCTGGTCTTGTGAGCTTTTTGACAGACAAGAAACTTGACAAAACTTGAAACTTCAATTTCAAATCACCAAGATGAAGCAATTCTGTCAGCAGCCTAACTCCGCACCTTCCCGCTTCCAAGCGTTAGTTCCAAATCATCCAATGCCACTTCATGAATTTTCTCCCCAACCCAAGGCTTTACCTGTACCCCAAACTCTTCTGAACTCGTCCTCATCTCTTGGATTGAGTTAACAGGCACACGGTGTGGAACCAAAGGTTTAACAAGATTGAAAGTTGGAGAAGCTGGTAACGTAGATGCAGAAGGACCAAATGCTTGGAATTTCATCCACTGGTTAGACTCACAGGTGGAAGTATCAGACTCATCACATTCTGGAATAGTGGCCGGGGTGTAAAGATGACGGTGAGTGGGGCTGGCAGGAGCAGAAGCTGCAAAGAGAGGGTAATTAAAGGAAGCCATGGATTCTTTGGCAATAGACTCCCATGTAGGAATTGGTTTTGGATTTCTTGATGTAGGTGATGAAAGAGGCGGCGTCACAGGGGCACTGTTTGATATCCTCAGAGGAGGAAGAGACAGGGACGCATTGCGAATGTATGGAATGAGGTTTGATACATTATCCTTATCCACATCTAACCGAAACGGGCTTGGGAAAGAGGAGGAAGAAGGACTCACTTGGTATGAAGGAATTGGACTGGGGTACGACGAAGAAAAAGGACTTGGGCTTTGAGAAGAGCAAAAGGGAACGTTTCTCATTGAGTTCCCTGCACCATTGGCCAGAGGTGGCTTGCAACCCTATTCACCCAAAACACACAAAACTACGTTACCATTTCAAATCAATCACCTTAACACAATCAATTTAGAGTCCAGTGAGTGACGAAAAAATTTAATCACATTAACACAAACAATTTAGAGTCTAAAGTAAGCAACTACAATAATCTCAGTAGTTGATGAGAGAACCATCAATTCATATTATATATATCACAGATAATCGCGTTAACAATTTAGACTCTAAAGTAAGTGATACGCTGATAAATCTCAGTAATTGACAAGAAATCGTCCATTAATATTCTCCGTAGTTACACAATGTACATTTTTCCATTTACAATTTGGATTATTTACTCCACCTACGAGATAAATCAATCAAGTTAACCCACACCTCGAATATCAAAGTTCACTTCCGTTTTCGGTACATCAAAGGGCTGAGATTAATTGCTACTTATCACAACCTATTATTTACGTATCTAATTACGCATTAGAAACAAGGATCAGAAAAAAAATCCGATAATTAAGTTAGAAATCTTCGTTTAACGTTAACTAGAACAATGCCTACACTGTCTCGCTTCTGGTTCCTGAGCGCAATGCACAGCATAAACGGAAAGCTAAACGCACGGTTTGATCGAAATGCAAAATCAAAAATAAGATCCAGTGACGCTGTAACGGTTAGAAAGTGTGATTTGACTTAATTTATTACCTTACGATAGGTAGTGCCGTCTTCTTCGACGCACCAACCAGCTTCGGCACAAAGCGCTTTGAGAACTTCGTTGTTGTCACAGTGCTTCGGCAAGTTATAGTTCCCCATAGCTCGAAGTCCAGAGTATATTTTCGCCGCGATCGCTCTTCTCCTCCGTTCTCTCCTTCGGTTATTCTCTCTCTCCCTCCACGACGGCTTTCTCCTACTCGCCGCCGCCGCCGCCGAAGTAGCTCCGTCGGAGGCCATTTTCCGGCGACGGAGACTAGGGTGTGCGCGCTGCAGGCGATTTAAACCCGAGGATAGTGCAACGAAACGGATTCACGAGGATCGCGCTTTTCTCCAATTGTCTTCGCTGGATGAGTGGAAGAAATGAAGAATCTGAAAAAGGTAGCAGTAATAATACATATATACGGATACTATTAATTATATTTTATGAGTATTATTATATATTAAAAATTTATTATTTTCATATATTGAAAAAAACAATTGATATGATAGGAGACTAGTACCTTTTGTGTTGCAGATGTGTAACATATAATAATTGTGCTGAAGAACAAATGTCTAAAACTAACTTAGTCCAATTCTTAAAAAGAAAAGAAAAAGATATTGAATTAAATTTATTTTAATTTGAGAACAAAATTTGAAACTAATTCAACTGAATATGACTGAAAATAATTAAACTCACTCAATCCCATAAAGAATGAACTTCATTATTTTATTTTAAAAATATGTTAGGTTTACCAATTAGTTTATCTATCCTATTACATAAAAAAAATTCTCTTTTGTGTAAATATTTTTTTTCAATTTTACTTTTTAAGTATTTTTAAATAAAAAAATATTATTTTATCAATTTTATGTTAAATTATATATATATATATATATATATATATATA